CTGGCTGATTGACCAATTTTACCTATTCAGCCTCCCCCCCACACACTCACACTCTCTCACTCTCTCTCCATCCATCCAAAACCTCGCCCCTACAGCTGCCCCCCTATGGGCACTCTGACCCCACCCCCCTTATCACAAACCCCATCCACACAACCCCCATAGGCCCCCACCAGGGCTCCCAGCCCCAATATTCTCCCAGGACCACAGTGATAGAAAAGAAGCTGAAGGTTTGGTACACAAACACAGATGGAATAACAATGAATAAATGTGAGGAGAGGCACGAAAGAATCGATGAGAAATCTCCAGACATCATAGCAGTCACAGAAATAAAACTCACTGAGACAATAACAGATGCAATCTTCCCACCAGGATATCAGATCCTGAGGAAAGATAAGAGGAGTAGAAGGGAGCAGGGGTTGCACTGCACATAAAATACCGATGGGGATTTGAGGAAATGGAAGGCATGGACGAGATTGGAGAAAGGAAATACATAGTAGGTACAATTCTGTCTGGGGAACATAAAGTAGTCATTGGAGTGATGTATAATCCATCACAGAACTGCAGGAGGCCAAGAGAGGAATACGAAGAGAACAACAAAGCGATGGTGGACACACTGGCTGAGTTGGCAAGAAGAGCTCACTCGAGCAGAGCAAAGTTGCTGGTTATGGGCGATTTCAACCACAGGGAGATCGATTGGGAAAACCTGGAGCCACATGGGGGTCCCAAAACACGGAGAACCAAGATGATGGATGTGGTACTGAAAAACATCATACATCAACATGTCAGGGACACTACCAGAGAGAGAGGGGAGGCTCAACCAGCAAGACTGGACCTTGTGTTCACCTTGAGCAGTTCAGACATTGAGGACATCACTTATGAGAGGCCCCTTGGAGCTAGTGATTACGTGGTTCTGAGTTTTGACTATATAGTAGAGTTACAAGTGGAGAGGGTAAACAGGAATTGAATGGGAAAAGCCTAACTATAAAAGGGGGGACTACACAGGTATTAGGAACTTCCTGCAGGAGGTTCAGTGGGACAGAGAACTGGTAGGAAAGTCAGTAATCAAGATGATGGAATATGTAACAACAAAATGCAAGGAGGCAGAGGAAAGATTTGTTGTTCCCAAGGGCAATAGAAATAATGGGAAGACCAAAGCGAGTCCTTGGTTTACCCGAAGGTGTAGAGAGGCAAAAACTAAGTGCACCAGAGAATGGAAAAGGTACAGGAGGCAAAGGACCCAGGAAAATAGAGATTAGTCGAAGAGCCAGAAATGAGTATGCACAGATGAGGAGGGAGGCCCAGCGACAGTACGAAAACGACATAACATCGAAAGTCAAGTCTGACCCGAAACTGTTGTATAGCCACATTAGGAAGAAGACAACAGTCAAAGACCAGGTGATCAGGCTGAGGAAAGAAGGTGGGGAACTCACAAGAAACGATCAAGAGGTATGTGAGGAGCTCAACATGAGATTTAAGGAAGTACAGTGGACCCCGGTTAACGATATTTTTTCATTCCAGAAGTATGTTCAGGTGCCAGTACTGACCGAATTTGTGCCCATAAGGAATATTGTGAAGTAGATTAGTCCATTTCAGACCCCCAAACATACACGTACAAACACACATGAATACACTTACATAATTGGTCGCATTGGGAGGTGATCGTTAAGCAGGGGTCCACTGTACAGCGGAGACAGGAAGGCCTCTGGGAGGACAGAACAGAGGGGGATGCCAACAAGGAATATACCAACAAGTGTTGGACGACATACACACAACTGAGGAGGAGGTGAAGAAGCTGCTAAGGGACCTTGATACCTCATAGGCAATGGGACTGGACAACATCTCCCCATGGGTCCTTAGAGGGGGAGCAGAAATGCTGTGTATGCCACTAACCACAATCTTCAACACATCCCTTGAAACTGGGCGGGTTCAATCCCGGCCGGGGGTATGGTTTATTTGCAATCGTGTCATTACGATTTCTTAAGTCATGACAAATGTAGTTCCCATTTTTATAAAAGGAGACAGAAAAGAGGCACTAAACTATAGACCAGTGTCACTGACGTGTATAATATACAGAATCATGGAGAAGGTTATCAGGAAAGTGGTGGAGCACCTGGAACGGAACAAGAGTATAAATGCCAACCAGCATGGAGATATGGAGGGCAAATCCTGTGTTGCAAAATTTCTGGAGTTTTATGATAAAGTAAGACATGAAAGAGAGGGGTGGGGTGATTGCATCTTCTTGGACTGCAAGAAGGCCTTTGACACAGTTCCTCACGAGAGATTAGTGCAGAAACTAGAAGGGCACTGCAATGAATCAGAGAATACCTGACAGGGAGGCAACAGTGAGTCAGGGGTATGTGATGAGGTATCACAGTGGGTACCTGTCAGGAGCGGGGTCCCACAGGGGTCAGTCCTAGGACCAGTGTTATTTTTGGTATATGTGAATGACATGATGGAAGGATTAGACTCAGAAGTGTCCTTGTTTGAAGATGTGAAGTTAATGAGGAGAATCAAATCAGATGAGGATCAGGCAGGACTTCAAAGAGACCTGGACAGGCTGGACACCTGGTCCAGCAACTGGCTTCTCGAATTTAAACCCGCCAAATGCAAAGTCATGAATATCGGGGAAGGGCAAAGAAGACCGCAGACAGAGTATAGGCTGGGTGGCCAAAGACTGCAAACCTCGCTCAAGGATTAAGATCTTGGGGTGAATATAACACCGAGCACGTCTCTGGAAGCACACATTGGCCAGATAACTGCTGTAGCATATGGGCACCTGGCAAATCTGAGAACAGCATTCCAATACCTTAGTAAGGAATTGTTCAAGACACTACACCGTGTACATCAGGCCCATACTGGAGTATGCAGCACCTGTTTGGAACCCACACTTGATCAAGCACGTCAAGAAATTAGAGAAAGTGCAAAGGTTTGCGACAAGGTTAGTTCTAGAGCTAAAGGGAATGTCCTACGAAGAAAGGTTAAGGGACATCGGCCAGATGACACTGGAGGACAGGAGGGTTAGGGGAGACATGATAATGACATACAAAATACTGCATGGAATAGACAAGGTGGACAGACAGGATGTTCCAGAGAGGGGACACAGAAACAAGGGGTCACACTTGGAAGTTGAAGACTCAAATGAGTCAAAGGGATGTTAGGAAGTATTTCTTCAGTCATAGAGTTGTCAGGAAGTGGAATAGCCTAGCAAATGAGGTAGTGGAGGCAGGAACCATACATAGCTTTAAGATGAGGTATGATAAAGCTCATGGAGCAGGGAGAGAGAGGACCTAGTAGCACTCAGTGAAGAGGCAGGGCCAGGAGCCGAGTCTCGACCCCTGCAACAACAATTAGATGAGTACACACATACATGCACACACACACATGCAACATGCAGCACACACACATATATACATAACTACATGATAACCACCTGGTGGTTCACAATTACACTCACTTACCCACTGACTATAAACCCAGAAATAATAATCTTAATCTTAAAATAATAAATCCTAACTAGTCATAAGTTTGCCTATGATACTCCAATATAGACACTTTGTATTGTGCCAAAACAAAAGCATTCATATTGCTAAACTCACAAATTATGATGTAGTCACTTAGCCTTAATACCATAATCTGTAAGGATTTAATGTTAAGAATTAATCTAAGTCTGCCCGAAATGCCTAGCCATGCTAGGTGTCCTAGTGGCCCCCTCTGTAATTAGTATTTTATAACATGTAAACCACACAATACCCAAAACCTGTAAACCCCACATTGTAACCCTTATAGAGAATAAACTTGAAATGAATATGAAACAGATAAAATCATAACAGGGTACATGGGAATAAAAATGCTTACATTGTACTATATTTAAATTAAATTATTCTGTTAAATCAGAACAAAATGGTAATAAAAATAACAGTACTGGGAGCCTCTGCTTTGCAGCATTTCGTTTTGCGTTGTTTCGCTCTGACAGCTCTTTGAAGTTATACTCATTCTTCATTTCGTACAATAAATATATTCACCACTCACTCTAAGGTAAGAAGAAAAATATTTTAAAGTAATGTGTGTACTGTATGTGCATTTTTTAGGTCTAGGTCTATTGCTCGCTTAACGTATGCTAGTGTAAACATGTTATCAGGTTTTTATATGCATTTGAAAGTTAAAAAGGCTGTTTCACTTTACAGCAGTAGCCCAGAACTTAACCTTCTTTGTAAGCAGGACCTGCCTCTACCTGTATTATTACAGAATGTGATGAAATAGTATTTTACATGTATGTTTATGTAAGACATTAATGATGTTCACAGAATTAATTCAGTGAGAATGACTCATTGTATATGGACATATAAAATCTTAGCAATGTACACGAGAGTAAAAATGTATAAATTTTATAGTTTTTAGTGTTCAGGGATTCAGATTAATTCTAATAAAAATTATAGTGGTAATAAAGCCAGTTGCTTTATCTCTTGAATGAGATAGTGTATGTCTTTCTAGCAATATATGAGAGTTGAAGGAAAGATGGAACAAGACAAGGGGTTAATATTGAATGAAAAACAGGGTTACAGATTTGGTTTTGCATAATAAATTGTTGTCAGGATCACATTAAGGTAAGGAGGTGTTTTTAACAGTAGCTGTGATCTGGTTGGCAGGTAGGAAGTCTCTGGAATCTTCAGGCATTTTAGTTCCTTTTATGCACAGTGCTTTTACTCAGGTTGAGTCTGACACAGGGAATATCATAGATTTTTGTTTAGCATTATGCTTATGAATTCTGTTGCAGCTGTCAAGAGTTTTAGTACAGGATTAATACTAGAATTGATGTCCTGTATACATAATATGCACAGAAATGAGTGAATTTTATGTATATCTGTGTATTCTTTCTTTTTTTTTCCATCTCTTGATTTATTCTTTTGTCTCTTGCCATTTGTTATGAGTACTTTGCACACCATCTACAATAAGGAAGACATTTCAGACTTATTAGTAGACATAACTTTGTTAAATTTCAGGTGCAGATAAGTCACTTGGTAGCAGTCTCTTGGAAGCTTGTGGGAACAACCTGGAGATGGCAATTAACATGCACATGGAAGGTGTCCATGAAGCCTCTTCATCCAGCTCGGCTACCACCAACCACTCCTCACCTGGTTCACTTGGCATGACTGTGTGTGAGCCTTCTTTAACTAATATATACAGACTCTTTTTGTGTCTGTCTGTGTTTAATTTATTGTGCTACTTTAAGCACATCCTGTGATCTTGGCTTTTAAAATGATATCAAATTCAATTTTTTTATACAGATAATGTAGTTTGCATGTAATAAAATATTGTTAGGCACAAAAGAAAGCTACTAGTATGCAATGAATTTTGAGCCAATTAATCCTAATGTTTAAGAACTACTGAAGAACTAGACAGATTATTAAACGGGATTTCCTTGTGCAGTTAACTACAATTAAATGTACAACAAGAGGTAGCTAAATGAACAACAGTATTTTAAAAGTATGCCTTAATTTTTCAAATTGATTCACTGCTCTTCAGTTAAGTAGGATTTCTTTAGCAGTTACCAACTATTATATATAGCACAGTAAGATAACTAATGTATGAGTGGTCCAGTTTTAAAAGTATGATTTATTATTTCAAAGTGATTCAGTATTTTCAATCTTGTGGAGTGATTGAATAGTGATGAAGTTACAGGAAGTTACTTAGTGACAGTAGAAACATAACGGGACAAGATGAGTACATCTCCTCTCACTTAGCGATGGACTCGTTTACCGATGCCTCAGACTTACGATGGGCTTTCTGACCAGTATTCATACCTAAATAAATGTATATAAGAGCTGATTTCCTCTATTCTGTTTTTTCAATATACAGTACTCTACTGTATAAACATTTAAAAATATTCCAAATATGTTAAAAATGGTACAAAGGCAATATTAACACAATATCAAAGAGGGCTGACACAAACTCACTACCATTGTAGTATGCTCCTCATTTTGCCACGAATTTGTTTAATGACGTGGTCTCAGGAACGGAACTCTTGTATTAAGTGAAGAGAGGCTATAATTAATTAAGACTGGAGTGCTCTAGTGTCCTCATTAGAATGAATTGGACAGCCTATTTTGGTGTCATCAGCAAATTTGCTTATGTCGCTATTTATTCCCTCATCTATGTCGTTTATGTAAATTGTGAACAGCAACGGGCCCAACACTGACCCCTGAGGAACACCGCTGGTGACGTGCCCCCATTCTGATTTCTCCCCATTTATGCAAACACTCTGCTGTCTATTTGTCAGCCATGCCTCTACCCAGGAAAAAATTTCTCCTCTTATTCCATGTGCCTTAAGTTTCCTCAATAGCCTCTGGTGTGGAACTCTATTGAAAGCCTTACTGAAGTCCATATACACAATATCATATTCATTATCATGATCTACCTCCTCAAACACCTTAGTGAAAAAAGTTAGTAAATTCGTAAGACAGGAACGCCCCTTTGTAAATCCGTGTTGAGATTCATTAATCAATCTGTGCCTGTCAAGATGGCTATGAATTGCTTTGGTAATTATTGATTCCATAAATTTTCCCACTATGGAGGTAAGGCTTACTGGTCTATAGTTCGAAGCCAAGGACCTGTCACCTGCCTTGTAAATAGGTGTTACATTTGCCATTTTCCACTTATCAGGCACTATGCCAGTTTGTAGTGATTATGTTAAAAAGATTAGCCAAAGATATGCTAAGTTCCTCTTTACATTCCTTTAACACCCTTGCAAACAGTTCATCAAGGCCTGGGGATTTGTTAGGTTTTAGTTTCTCTATTTGTCTGAGGACTATGTCACTAGTTACCGCAATCGTACATAGTTTATCATCATCCTATTCTACATAATCTATTATTCAGGAATATCACTAGTATTTGAGGTCTGTTTTGTATGTTGAGTCTTACAGTTTTAAAGCAAATTTGTCATCTTTCTTGATGAGCACTGCACTGTATGACTCTCATAGGTTTAGTGCTTCATTTCTTTATAATAATAATACTCTTTATGAGCAGTGTGTCCAGAAAAAGATGGTTGTTATATGTACTTGTTCATCTTGAGCTGAATAGTGGATTCAACATAATAAGTTTATAAAGCTGTTTATTTTGAAAAATCTGGGTGAAATTGCTAAATTTTCTCATTAAAAGGATCTCTATAAAAGATTTTTTATTTATTAACACATTGGCCGATTCCCAATAAGGCAGGTTGGCCTGAAAAAGAAAAAAACTTTCATCATCATTCACTCCATTACTGTCTTGCCAGAGGGGTCCTTTACACTACAGTTATAAATCTGCAACATTAACACCCCTCCTTCAGAGTGTAGACACTGTACTTCCCTTTAGATACCACCTTCAACATTCCATGTACTACAACACTGATTGTTTCAGTGGTTTTTGTATAAAAATATTCACCTTCATTCAGACTGACCCACATTCAACCAGACAGTGGACAGTTAACAGTTATTCCAGATGAATGGAGGCAGAATAATTAAGGAGCAACTGTATCTAGCAAATACGATTTTGTAATATACTGCAATATACAGTAAATTATTTAATTCACTGTGCAGTACTTATATACAGGTATACTAGTATAATTGAGTAAGCTCTTCACTACCCTTTCTGGATCTTAAGACATCTATTTTTATCTTCTCATTAGGGTGATGAAGGTACTGTGCGTGCTCCCATACCACAGAAGCAAGAAGTACTTGTGGAGGGCCCGGATGAACTTGCTTTCTCATTTCGTGGGAGGCGCAGAATGGCACGATCCGTGTTTGATAAGTTTCGTGACTTTGAAGCAGAAACTAGTAAGTATTTTTATTTCTTGCATCAGAAGAAAACATAAGGAAATAAATAAATGTTTATGCACATGAATACCAGATACACTACATACAGTGCTGCACAGTCGTTCTTACAAATTCACCTGATGGATACCTGAAGGATGCTTCTGGGGGTCCCAGACCAGACGTTCTGGTGAATCAAGGCCTGATCAACCAGGCTTCCTTATTTGTGGATTTTGATTATCCATTGTTTTTACTGATGGGCAACCAGGGAATAGCTTAGATTAGATTAAGGTTTTCTAGTTCAGTGTATCCCAAGCCCAAATCTCTGTAATTTTGGTCATTCTGTCTTATAACCAGATTAGTGATGTATTAAAGTTATGGTGTGAAACTAGTAAATACATATCGGAACAAAATTTTGTTACAGTATGCAGACTCAATTTTGTATTTTTTGTTTTTAGTTTTGTGGGACCTTTACAAGAGTAGCTTTAGCAAATTTGTAGCAATGACTGTTTTACTAAACAGATCTGTACAGTGGACCCCCGGTTAACGATATTTTTTCACTCCAGAAGTATGTTCAGGTGCCAGTACTGACCGTAATTTGTTCCCATAAGAAATATTGTGAAGTAGATTAGTCCATTTCAGACCCCCCAAACATACACGTACAAACGCACTTACATAAATACACTTACATAATTGGTCGCATTCGGAGGTAATCGTTATGCGGGGGTCCACTGTATTATAAAAAAATCAGTACAAAAAATTTTATTTCCATTAAGTATAAAAGGTACAAAATTAGGTGATACAGTAGAACCCCCCATATCCACTGATTCGGTATCTGTGGTTTCAGTTATCCACTGACCTGGAGTGTTACAACTCACTGTGAGTTTGAGCCCCACCTGTGCTGTCGTTTGTTTACAATCATGTTATGATTTCATGACAGTTTATTCTCCCCCTTCCTTGGATCAAACCTTTTTACCTCCCATTCCCCAGGTGCTGTATAACCCCTGAGGGTTTTGGTGCTCCTTTGTCGTCATCATCTTTTTTTTTTTAAGGGAAAGGGGGCCCCCCCCCCCCCCCCCCAAAAAAAAAAAAAAAAAGTCATTCACTTGGTAACTGTCCAGCCAGCAGTGCAGACATCACAATTCAAATAATCTTCCGAATTGCAACATTCCCATCCTTTTGGAAATGGTGTATTTCTCACCTCCAGTACTTGAACTAACAAGGTTTTCTGAATCCCTACATAAATGTTACCTTGTTCACACTTCAGCAGCATGTCAAGCCATAAAATTACTTGTCTTCATTCACTTCAATCTAACATACTCAACACTAGCCGGGTGGGTACTCAAACCCTTAGCACTAGTAACCTCTCTTACTCCTCCAATCCTCCTTAGGATGACTCCTAACTCTCCTTCCTTCCACTCCAGATTTATACACCCTCTTGGTTATCCTGTTCTACTCCATCTCTAAATTCCCAAACCACCTCTGCAATTTCCCATTAGTGTAGTGTTAACCACACTGTCTTCTAATCTTTATCTTCATATTCACTGAACAATATTCACTGCACACACTGCTCTCAAATATAACATCTTCAGTGCATCTGGTCTCTTCCTTACTATAATGTTTAAAGGGTTCATGCATTTTATGGAATCTTTAAATATAAAGGATTTTTACTTAAGTGGACACCTTGTCCCCCCTCCCCTATTAGTCAGTTTTGTGGCGATTTTACTGTACTTGCCTTATTTTACTCAAGGTGATTTAACATAGTAATGTTCAGCATTGTTTTTTTAAAACTATGAAAATGCTGATTGAAAATACACTACATTGATGTCAGTATGTGCTGTACCAATTTTCCACAGGTTTTATTTAATAAAGACATTCAATTATTTATAGAGCGTCAAGAGGAGGCATTACTAGCAAGTGCTGCAGCAGCAGCATCGGGAGCCTCCACGAGCAGTACTCGTGTTGTATCCGCCCATCGTAGTCGTCGAAAGATGAAGACCTTAGAAGATCTCTTCAGACCACCTATTGATCTCATATATCGAGGCACATTCCAGGCTGTAAGTCATTGTTGTGGAAATGCCTTGCCTTTGTTTGAAAAGGGAGTCTTTAATATGAATTTTGTTTTTGATAGATAAGGTAGAATAGTTCACTATTTTATTTTAACCCTTTAACTGTCCAAACGTAGATCTGTGTTGTTACCACTAGTGCTCCGAATGTAGACCAACATTTTATTTTTCCTGCCTCCAAATTTGGCATGATTGGTCTGAGATGCCTGGTCAGTATAGAATGGATCTTAACACATGGTGTATGCAGTATTAAAAAAAATCTGAGACCACTTAGTGCCTTGTGGGAGCACCAGTTTGAGCACCAGCTAGAGCAAACAGTATGGCAAACACCAGGGATTCACTGATGTCGTGTCATGTCGTATTACACTCCCCTTTTAAGAGGAAAGTGATGTGGTCGAAGAAATATAAAAAACCTTGCTAATGACCCATGTGCAACATTTGTGCAACTTCCTTTCAATTTTGATACCACTGGTAATGTCATCCTGCCAGAATGTCCTATAACCTATGCCCTAAGTAAAGAGAAACAATTCTGGAATGTGTAATACGTGTTTGGCAGGCTGGCTGGCTGGCTGATGGACTTTGGCTGTCTCTATCTCCGTCTGCTTATCTCTGTCCCACAGGTACACAAATACAATTATTGTACATAGTGTAAATTACCTAGGATAACCCCAAAAAATCCAGACAGTGCTATACTGTGCTTGTAGATTTTTTTTTTTTTTTATATACAAGTCGGCCGTTTCCCACCGAGGCCGGGTGACCCAAAAAGAAAAAAATCCCCAAAAAGAAAATACTTTCATCATCATCATTCAACACTTTCACCTCACTTACATATAATCACTGTTTTTGCAGAGTTTCCCAGAATACAACAGTTTAGAATCATATAAGAACATAAAGAAGGAACACTGCAACAGGCCTACTGACCCCCCCTCCCCCAGATTAACCCAGTGCCCCACCCAGTCTGGTCACCTCACTCAAGGAAGGAGCACGGCACCAGACCCAGCAGCACAAGCTAGTCAGGTCCAACTCACACCCACCCACACCCACTCGTGTATTTATCAAACTTTTTTAAAACTACACGACATTTTAGCCTCAATAACTGTACTTGGGAGTTTGTTCCACTCATCCACAACTCTATTACCAAACCAGTGCTTTCCTATAACCTTCCTGAATCTGAATTTTTCCAACTTGAAACCATTGCTGCAAGTCCTGTCTTGGCTGGAAATTTTCAGCACGCTATTTACATCCCCTTTATTTATTCCTGTTTTCCATTTATACACCTCTATCATATCCCCCTAATTCTACACCTTTCGAGAGAGTGCAGATTCAGGGCCCTCAGTCTATCCTCATAAGGAAGATGTCTGATACATGGGATCATCTTTGTCGTCCACCTCTGTACGTTTTCCAGAGCATTTATATCCATTCTGTAATACGGTGACCAAAACTGAGCAGCATAGTCTAAATGAGGCCTAACCAAGGATATATCGAGTTGAAGAATAACCTGAGGACTTTTATTATTTATACTTCTAGATATGAAGCCAAGAATTCTGTTAGCTTTATTGCGAACACTAATGCACTGTTGTCTTGGTTTTAGATTACTGCTAACCAGAACTCCTAAACCCTTTTCGCAATCAGTAGCATTAAGATCTGCATTGTTTAGTTTATATGTCGCATGGTTATTTTCCTGTCCAACATTTAGAACTTTGCATTTGTCTGTATTAAACTACATCTGCCATTTCTCCGACCCTTGCATCAGTCTATTCAAATTATCCTGGAGTGCTCTAGTGTCCTCATCAGAATGAATTGGACGGCCTATTTTGGTGTCATCAGCAAATTTGCTTATGTCGCTATTTATTCCCTCATCTATGTCGTTTATGTAAATTGTGAACAACAGCGGGCCCAACACTGACCCCTGAGGAACACCGCTTGTGACGTGCCCCCATTCTGATTTCTCTCCATTTATGCAAACACACTGCTGCCTATTTGTCAGCCATGCCTCTACCCAGGAAAAAATTTCTCCTCCTATTCCGTGTGCCTTAAGTTTCCTCAATAACCTCTTATGTGGAACTCTATCGAAAGCCTTACTGAAGCCCATATACACAATATCGTATTCATTACCATGATCTACCTCCTCAAACACCTTAGTGAAAAATGTTAGTAAATTCGTAAGACAGGAATGCCCCTTTGTAAAACCGTGTTGAGATTCATTAATCAGTCTGTGCCTATCAAGATGGCTACGAATTGCTTCGGCAATTATTGATTCCATAAATTTTCCCACTATGGAGGTCAGGCTTATTGGTCTACAGTTCGAAGCCAAGGACCTGTCACTTGCCTTGTAAATAGGTATTATATTTGCCATATTCCACTTGTCAGGCACTATGCCGGTTTGTAGTGATATGTTAAAAAGATTAGCCAAAGGTATGCTAAGTTCTTCTTTTCATTCCTTTAACACCCTTGCAAACAGTTCATCAGCGCCAGGGGATTTGTTAGGTTTTAGTTTCTCTAGTTGTCTGAGGACCATGTCACTAGTTACTGCAATTGTGCATAGTTTATTATCATCCTGTTCTACATAATCTATTATTACAGGAATATCGCAAGTATTTTCCTGGGTAAAACTGAGAGGAAGTAGGTGTTGAGAATTTCACATATCCTTATCACTGTCAGTGATCTGACCAGAGTTACTCTTAAGTGGGCCTATCTTGTCCCTAATCTTATTTCTGTATACCTGAAAGAACCCTTTTGGGTTAGTCTTTGAATCCCTTGCGACCTTAGCCTCATAATCCCATTTTGCTTTTCTTATTCCTTTCTTTATTTCTCTCTTTAATTGAATATATTGATTTCTTAACTGCCCATCCCCTCTTTTGATATGCCTATATATGCCTCTCTTTTGACCAGTGAGATGTTTTAATCTATTGTTCATCCATTTGGGGTCATTCTTGTTAGATCTAATTTCCCTACTCGGAACAAAAGTTGTCTGGGCAGCTAGAACTATGCTCTGAAAAACGTCATACTGGCAACGAAGATCACCTACCTGACCCATAGTCAGGAAATCCCAATTTGGCTCACCCAGGTAATTTTTCAGTCCCATGAAGTCGGCCAAGCGAAAATCTGGGACAGAGATTTGATTGCAGTTATCTGGGTAATTCCATGATATATTGAAACTAAGTGATTTGTGATCGCTTTCCCCAAGCTCATCATTAACCTCAAGATTATTAATTTGTGACTCTTTGTTGGCAAGAACCAAGTCAAGCAGATTGTTTCCTCTAGTTGGTTCTGTCACAACCTGTTCTAAAACGCAATCCTGAACCGTATCAAGAAAATCATTACACTCAAAATTTCCTGTCATATTGTTCCAATCAATTTGTCTAAAGTTAAAATCTCATATCTGGATGCCTTATGAATTTCATCCCATAACAGCTTACTGCACTCCATATCAAGGTTTGGGGCCTATAAATCACTCCCAAAATTAATTTGTCACGTCCCTCGAGAAACTGTAGCCAAACAGATTCGGTGCTCGATGTATCTAATCTTACATCATGTCTAAGACAATTTAAATTTTCTCTGACATACATCACCACTCCACCACCCTTCCTATTGACCCTATCAGTGTGGAATAGTTTATAACCCTGTATGTTGCATTCAGAAGGCATTTCTCTATCTTTCAGGTTGAACCAGGTCTGTTATACCAGTAATATCTGAAGTCTGAATGTGCGTGGATGTTGTGCAAATGATAAGAAAGAGATGATTGTGGATGTTATGGATGTTACGAGGATAGTGAGGCTCAAGTTAGAGTATGTAGGAAAGAGGGAAATTTTTTCCCAGTAAAAGTAGGCCTTAGACAAGGATGTGTGATGTCACCGTGGTTGTTTAATATATTTATAGATGGGGTTTGTAAGAGAAGTAAATGCGAGGGTCTTGGCAAGAGGCGTGGAGTTAAAGATAAAGAATCACACACAAAGTGGAGTTGTCACAGCTGCTCTTTGCTGATGACACTGTGCTCTTGGGAGATTCTGAAGAGAAGTTGCAGAGATTGGTGGATGAATTTGGTAGGGTGTGCAAAAGAAGAAAATTAAAGGTGAATACAGGAAAGAGTAAGGTTATGAGGATAACAAAAAGATTAGGTGATGAAAGATTGAATATCAGATTGGAGGGAGAGAGTATGGAGGAGGTGAACGTATTCAGATATTTGGGAGTGGACGTGTCAGCGGATGGGTCTATGAAAGATGAGGTGAATCATAGAATTGATGAGGGAAAAAGAGTGAGTGGTGCACTTAGGAGTCTGTGGAGACAAAGAACTTTGTCCTTGGAGGCAAAGAGGGGAATGTATGAGAGTATAGTTTTACCAACGCTCTTATATGGGTGTGAAGCGTGGGTGATGAATGTTGCAGCGAGGAGAAGGCTGGAGGCAGTGGAGATGTCATGTCTGAGGGCAATGTGTGGTGTGAATATAATGCAGAGAATTTCTAGTTTGGAATTTAGGAGGAGGTGCGGGTTTACCAAAACTTTTTCCCAAAGGGGGCTGGGGAAGGGTTGTTAGGTGGTTCGGAATGTAGAGAAATGGAGCGAAACAGAAGACTTCAAGATGTATCAGTCTGTAGGGGAAAGGGAAGGCGGGTGGGGGTCGGCCTGGGAAAGGGTTGGAGGGAGGGGGTAAAGGAGGTTTTTGTGTGCGAGGGCTTTGGGGACTTCCAGAGGCGCGGGGCTTTTTTTTTTTTTTTTTTTTTTTGATTTTTTATTTTTTTTTTTTTTTTTTTTTTTTTGAGTCCTGGAGATGGAATACAGTGCCTGCACTTGAAGGAGGGGTTTTTTATGTTGCAGTTTAAAAACTGTATGTAAAGCACCCTTCTGCAAAAACAGTGTGGATGAATGAGGGTGAAAAGGTTTTCTTTTTTCGGGCCCAAACCCTGCCTTGGTGGAATGGGCCCGGGTTTGTGAAATAAAAAAATTTTTTAAATAATGAGAAGAAACTGGATGTCCTGGCTTTAAGTGAAACA